GTTGTCACCCCTCCCCACCCCAACCCCACACACACCTCACACCCCCACCCCACACCCCCTCTCCAATTAAAAAATTTAAAGGGGTGACAACCATTATTGGCATGAGTATATTTCACAAGGTTGGTTTTGTCTGTTACATTTTATAAGCACTACAAGCTCGTTCCAAGTCATGATTGAATATATCTTAAAGACTCTAAGAAATTTATGTTCCTTACATACTTGTCATCCTTTAAAGATATGAAATTTTGCACAAAAAAACCTAAAGAACTACATGGTTTTTTCCTTATTTGAGCATTAACAAAAATAACCAGGAACATTTCATAAATGACGATAACCAATTATTTTCGATGATTGATCGGTTGTAATGAACCAATCATCAATTATGAGATTTTAACCAATTCCCAACACTAATATCCACACAATTACAAAGGTTACAGATGTAGTACAGTAAACGATATTTCTTAGCACTATAAAACCTGCGACATAGATACAGATTTTGAAAATTTCACAGAAGGGTAAATAATCAACAACGCCAATACTGAAGAAGATGATGGTGATCTGTTTTTAATCATAGACGACGAATTACGCAATACGAATTACACATGTTTTGTCCGTGTCTAGTTAGGTTATAATGAACAGACGGTAACCTTATTATTGTGTAAATATATTGACGTCAATTAGATGGTAAAAATGTGTAAAATATTCCATTCTGTTTTATAAATCTGTTTTTGAAATACTAGGAACTAAGCCTAGTGTATTCGGTGAGATGTGATAATCAATACTGACGTCGTCTACGAGAATAGAGACACGTTATGACATTTATAACCCTTTTGTCATTGATTATATTTGATAATCCATTAATACAGGTATAACGTGGTTCACACCACACCCACACAGACATTTAGGAAGCTCACAGGTAAATAACCGTTTGAAGCCCTCATCACTTCATTGTTATGTCGGATAATATCTCATGATTTGGGATGTAAGCAAAACTTTCGTGGAGGGAAACAGCTTTTGTTTGTTTTGGGGTTTTTTTGGTGAATAAAGCAAAACGATAATATATTGAGTACACAATGTGATGTGATACACGTCGAATTTACACCAGAACAGACTGTTTACAATCGTCTAGTTTAAAGCGCAGCGGAGTTATTTCCCCTTTCGTGCATGCGTTTAAAATTGACGTCGTAAATCCATTCGTCACCACTCGCCCCTTTCCGTAACCTATTCGGCTTGTCCCGGAATAACACGAGTTGGTCACGAATGGTTCATTCTCTTCCCACAGAGGTTACTTGTCATATCTTCCTACGAACCTCTGTTCTAATACGGCCATATTTCCCGGTTCTCGTAAAATCCCCTAGCGGCAAAAGATCGCAACACGAATTATTTCCCTTCTTTCTATCCAATCAGAACACGTGTTACATCGACTTAGATTCAACTTGACTAACACAAGCAAATGTGGGGCCACAAATATCCCCCATCTGCCGGGGACTTGTGTTGATGTTACACACAAAACGTTTAATGGCTAGCTTGTCCGTTGTCAACGAGGGCGATGGAGACGCCACTGATCCGCCATAACATGACTGAGTGCTGTCTAGAAGAAACGTTTGCGAATCGCGCAGGGGAAGAAGTTTAGTTTTCTCGAAGCATACGGAAATTACCGAGGCCTTGCGAATGATCACTTTTGAAACAACGTCGGTGATTGCACAACTAAATCTGATTGCCTCCAATCACGAGTCTTGAACGCCCACACCATGAAAGGGCCGTATTAGAACAGAGGTTACGTAGGAAGATATGACAGGAGTAACCTTTGTGGGAAGAGAATGCCGATATCTGTGTTGTTTGTTGTTTCACGCCAAAATCATTCCCGGATTCCCGGTTAACTTTTAGTTTCTACTTGGAAATCAATTAACACATAAAACGGGAAATGGACAAATTTGACTTTTTATTTATTATATCCATAATTGCTGCAATATTGGTAGGTGTGGCGTTAAACAACAAACAAACAAACAAACTAAAAGAACCTTGTACTGAAAAGATGGAGTGTTGTAATGAATGCAGAAGATGAAAGAAGCATTCGTAAAATGTCATAAAGGTCTCCTGGAGACTGTCCAATTGAAATTTTGGAAAATAGAACGTTTGGCATGGAGACACAAATTTGATTTATATTACGTCTGTGCTAATTGACATTGTGGGAATGTAATAAGATATTACGTATTTTTATTTATATGCAGGTGCACTATTTAAATGCGTCAAAATCAGCTGGAGTCTAACTCCAAATATATTTTTGTACGGTGAATCCGCTGACAATAGGGCAAGACGTGATCCTAGCACGCCATTATGGAATGGAAGCGACAGGGTCCTAGGTATGAGTGAGTGAGTTTAGTTTTACGCCGCATTCAGCTATATTCCAGCTATATGGCGGCGGTCTGTAAATGATCGAGTCTGGACCAGACAATCCAGTGATCAACGGCATGGGCATCGATCTGTGCAATTGGGAACCGATGACATGTGTCAACCAAGTCAGCGAGCCTGACCACTCGATCCCGACAAGTCGCTGTCCTAACCCGACTAGGTCGCTGTCGTAACCCAGCGAAGTCGCTGTCGTGACCCGTCGAAGTCGCTGTCGTTACCCGACGAAATCCCTTTTGTAACCCGCCTATGTTGCTGTCGTAACCCACCAAAGTTGCTTTCGCAACCCGACAAAGTCGCTGTCGTAACCCACCAAAGTTGCTTTCGTAAACCCGACAAAGTCGCTGTCGTAACCCAACGAAGTTGCACTCAAGATGATCTTGCTGTCTTAACCCGCCGACGAAGTTGCACTCAAAATGATCTGTCGCTGTATATGCTGTTGCTGTCGTAACCCAACGAAGTTGCACTCAAGATGATCTTGCTGTCTTAACCCGACGAAGTCGCTGTCTTAACCCGACGAAGTTGCTGTCGTAACCCAACGAAGTTGCACTCAAGATGATCTTGCTGTCTTAACCCGACGAAGTCTCTGTCTTAACCCGACGAAGTTGTTGTCTTAACCTGTCGTAACGACACTCAAGATGATAGTGTCTTAACTGTCGTAACCTGTCGTAACCCAACGAAGTTGCACTCAAGATGATCTTGCTGTCTTAACCCGACGAAGTTGCTGTCGTAACCCAACGAAGTTGCACTCAAGATGATCTTGCTGTCTGTCCTGTAACCCTTTTTCTCCTTGACGAAGTTGCTGTCGTAACCCACCAAAGTTGCTGTCGCAACCCGACAAAGTCGCTGTCGTAACCCACCAAAGTTGCTTTCGCTGTCCCGACGAAGTCGCTGTCGTAACCGACGAAAGTTGCTGTCGTAACCCGTAACCCGACGAAGTCGCTGTAACCCGCACGAGTCTTGACGAAGTCAACCGCTAATGAACGAAGTTGCTGTCTTAACCCAACGAAGTTGCTGTCGTAACCCGACGAAGTTGCTGATCTTGCTGTCTTAACCCGACGAAGTTAAGGTCTTAACCCGACGAAGTTGCTGTCGTAACCCAACGAAGTTGCACTCAAGATGATCTTGCTGTCTTAACCCGACGAAGTTGCTGTCGTAACCCAACGAAGTTGCACTCAAGATGATCTTGCTGTCTTAACCCAACGAAGTTGCTGTCTTAACCCGACGAAGTTGCTGTCGTAACCCAACGAAGTTGCACTCAAGATGATCTTGCTGTCTTAACCCGCTGTCGTAACCGACGTAACCCAACGAAGTTGCACTCAACATGATATGTCCTGTATATGCAACATCTTTTTCTCCTTGTCAGAATGTAGTTCCAAAGCAAGCTGTATATGGTCTTTGTAAATGGAGTGAGTGAGTGAGTGAGTTTAGTTTCAAGCCGCATTCAGCAATACTGCTACCTGGCGGCGGTCTGTAAATAATCGTGTCTGAAGCAGACAATCCTGTGGTCAACAGCATGAGCATCCGCAATTGGGATATCGATATGATGACATGTATCAACCAAGTCATAAAATGGATCGAGAGGTCAGCCTCGAAGACTTGATGAACTGCATATTACAATGCCAGCTTTGAGTATCGATGCTCATGATGTCAATCCCATAATTTCCTAGTCCTGGCTGGACTATGTACTGACCTCAGTCATACAGCTGGAACATTGCACGGTACATCGTTAAAGAACAAACAAATAAATAAACACAAATACACAAACAAAAAACTGGCGAACGAGTTTGGTCTAATGCCACTTAATGAACAGTATTCCAGTTGCACCACCCATGAAGGTCTGGGTTAGAATTGATCTTCAGCAACCCATGCTTGTCGTAAGAGGCGACTTACGGGATCGGGTGGTCAGGTTCAATGACAGGGTTGACACATGTCATCTTATCCCAATTGCGTTGATCGATGTTCATGCTGTTGATCCCTGGATTGTCTGGTCCAGACTTGATTATTTACAGACCGCCGCCATATAGCTGGAATATTGCTGAGTGCGGCGTAAAACTAAAATCACCCACTCACTCCAGCTGCACCAATTGTATAGCTCCTCTTATTCTTCTAAATTTATACTTCACCGGGCGCCATGTTAATGTCGGAGAAAAACACTATTTTTTATTTACAGAAGCGTGTTTCCCGAAAAAACTGACAAGAAACAAGGCGATGTTTTGGGTGGTGTAATCTACTGTTGTGACATAAATACGAAGAATGGCCTTACTGATAGTCCATTAACACGACCACAATCGGCAAATGCTTTAACATTTGAACAAACGTGTCAGTGTCCTAACGTTTATGAGAATGCGCTGTTGTGGCAGTAGCTATTAGTCCTGGTATCGTCACCGAAAATCAATGCCAATCTATTTAATTGCAACATCATCAATCACTGCTCTGGTGCATCAATTCACGGCTGACGACAAGCCACACCACTTGTGACACAACCGTATCGGTTATGAAGTACCAATGCTGTTGTAACTTATCGTCATGGCAACAAATTTCATACCGTAAATTTCGACCAATCAGAACGATGGCTTAATTCCGTCCGAATCTCCGGAAGCAATCTCCGCGAACGTTGATAGCGCTGAGTGATGTCGGCGATAAAAGGTGGACAACGGTATGACAATAAACGGGACTTTACCTTTTCGTCAACACAGAGGTACGTAATACTAAATAAGAGATTTCCATCTTGACAAGATGAGCAAATAATTGCGTTCGTATTTTTTGTGTTTGTCGTTTCACAACATTTCTGTCATGTTTTTTGTCGCCCATATGCCGTTGAGGGGATTGTCACAGTCCGAGGCTCGCACGGAGGATTTACAGTGACAATTGTAAATCATATGATCTATGTACGTAGCGTTGTGTTATGAGTTACACACTAGTTAGAATGAATGTGGGTCGTCATATTTCTGTGAAAACTTTATCTTACTTCGTACCAAAGTTTTCGTAATGTGGTTTCATTGACATTTCCCAAGAAAATATTGTTTCAATTTAAAGTTATAATTTTTCTTCGGGTGGAGGAATGTGTTTATTCTCTGATTTTAAATCACGATGAATGTTTACAATACGTACACTCTTATTAGATCTAATTGCTTTGATACGTCAAAATATTATGTTGTCTTTTTCTAGAAAAACTTAAAAGTGCCTAAAAAAGGAGCCAAAACATAAGATTTAAAAATTGGTAGTTTATAGAAATGATTGTTTATACCAGACGTGTTTGTTAATGAAAACGTGACATATATCGTATATCACATCTTTTTTCTAAAGATGAGGATTTTAAGTCAACATTGTAAAACAATTTGCTTCACTCTTTCACAAATGTGACTATGTGTAAAATACAGGGGGCCCTAGTGTAAATACACAATGGTATAAATATTATACATTGATAAACATTGTTGATCTGCATGTTAAAGAGTTTAAATATCTGGAAGAATGAAAGAAGGGTAAAATATTGCTTTTTCCTTTTTTTAAGCTGCCTGTCAAACAATGAGGCTTTGATGTAAAGGATAATTTATTCCCCCTGTAAATGTATCTGTGTTGGAAAAATATATATTAGGTATACAATTGACTGAATAGATAATCTAAATTACATTTTCCAGAAGGAAGACATAACCTGTTTATATTGATACAAAGAAGTCATTTATCAAGGGGAGGTATTGTCAGTTACATTGACACCCGCTGAGGAGGACTGTTGATCTGTCTGTGATCAGTTATGGATTACAAACAAGTAGACAGGAAAATATGGACACCCGATGCACTCTGGTTATAGGGTTTAAGTTTATCTATGCCGTTGGATATTCGTGTCAAAATCACTGCTCGGCAGCCATGCAGTGCCACTAAGGTCAAGGACAGAGTTTGGTAGGCAGATGGCTGGATTGGTTCTCACAGTATTAAGTGAGTATGGTTTTACGCTGCTTTTAGCAATATTCCAGCAACATTCCAGCAATATCCCGGCAGGGGAAACCAGAAATGGGCTTCACACATTGTACTCAAGTGGGGAATTGAACCTGGGACTTCTGCATGATGAGTGAACGCTTTTACCACTGGGCTACCTGATCGCCCCTCTCACAATGGTGAGGTGAGGTGAAATTGGGTTTAATGTCGTGCCTGAGAATATTTCGCTCATATGATGACGTGCATGCATGTGTATGTGTATGTGCGGCTGCTTGTACTAGCCCAGACTGAAGCTGCTTTTGTAGTGCTAGCCCACTGAGATACCATGCCGCAGTGAAGCATGAATACCCCACTCAGACACATTATACTGACTCCGAGCCGACCAGTCCTTGTTGTACCCATTAATGCTGAACGCGAGGCAGGGTCCAACAAGTACCATATTTTAACGTCTTTTGGTATGACGCGGTCCACAATACTGATGACTAGTAGACAGATCTCTCTCTGACCCTACAGAATACATTATAACTTAATGCATCTCAAGGTGAATTGTTTTGGCAGGTCAAGAAGAGAGATAATTATGTCTTAAGCAATGCTCTAAGAATGACAGTTATATGATAATGAGATTATTACCTTAATATGTTTTGATAGAGTAAATATCTACGTTGCACAAAATAAGTTAGGGAGCATATAATGTTTTGGGGAAATATTTCATGAAATACATGCTCCTTCTTCAAAATATAAACTTATTCCCCAAAATATTTATGATCCCTAATTAGCTCTGTTCATTACAATAAAAAGTCATATGATATTTTTTAAGGAATACGTATTACCTATGACAATGATGATATATATTGTGTGCTATATATCTGATATCGGTATATGTGCATTTTTGTGCTTCTCATTGCTGATTGGTCTGCTGGTGACACCTGAAGCACAATGTCCTACATGCAAGATCTTATAACACCCTACACTCCAGCTCGGGCCCTCAGATCTCAAGACAAAGGTCTTCTCAGTGTCCCAAAATACAAGTTGCAAACATTTGGCGGCAGATCTTTCAGCGTTCATGCAGCTTCCCTCTGGAACTCACTACCTCTCCATGTCAAGTCATCTCCTTCCATCTCCATCTTTAAATCAAGACTCAAAACATTCTTGTTCAACCACAACTAAATCTTATAACACTTCTTCCTGTATATAGTGTACATATTTACTGTTACGCAAAGAGCATGCCCTTGAGGTGTGGAGTTACTACTGCGCTATACAAATGTCCATATTATTATTATTATTATTATTATTATCTATTGTTGATGGCAAGGGCTGTTGATTACATCACATGCCCTGTGCAGTGGACTGCATTGAGTGAAGTGTTTTCGTAATTATTTATACAATGTCAACGAGTGAAATGAAGAATGGCCGACTCAGAATTACAGAGTATCAGTCCCAGTGCTAAATCCCTCCTCAAAGCCATGGGATTATCAACCTTCAGTCTATCCAGACGACTGATCCATAATTCAATTGTGGATCGTTGGTTATTATGTAGTATTGTGCTTCCAGTACACTTGCATGGTGTGAATTAGTGTTGGGAATTGGTTGAAATCTCACAATTGATGATTGCTTCATTACCAACGGACAATCATCGAAAAAAATTGGTTAGCGTCATTTTTCAGATTTTCCTATCCAGATATGTATAACATGATGCAACTTGCTACTTTAAAGTAATGACTGATTTATCATGAACATAAATTTCCTGGAGTCTTATAGAAATATTCAGTCATGACTTTTCAGATAGTGAAGTGAATTAAACACGTTGTCAGGCCCTGACAACTTCTAAGATATGTTCCATTGTCAAGTATTTCAAAGACTAAAATAGTAGTTCCAAAATCGTTTATGTTTGATAATGAGAAAATGTGATCGATTGCTCGGTTGTTTGGTCACTGCGACCAATCTTCGATTATTTAAATTAATTGGAACACCACTAGTGTGAATACACAATGCCGTTTAGAAAGTGGTCAGGTAACATATGTTATATTTGGGATTACACTTTCTCAGTGTAGTACAGATTCTTGTACTTTTAATATTTGGCGACCGCCTCCGTGGTGTAGTGTTTAGAGCGTCCACCCGGAGAGCGGAAGGTAGCGGGTTCGATCCCCGATTGCGTCAGACCAAAAGACGTTAAAATATGGTACTTGTTGGTCCCTGCCTGGCTCTCGGCATTAATGGGTACAACAAGGACTCGGCTCGGAGTCAGTATAATGTGTCTGAGTGGGGTATTCATGCTTCACTGCGGCATGGTATCTCAGTGGGCTAGCACTATAAAACCAGCTTAAGTCTGGGCTAGTACAAGCAGCCGCACATACACATACACACGCATGCACGTCGTCATATGAGCGAAATATTCTCAAGCACGGCTTTAAACCCAATTTCACCCCACCTCACCTTTAATATTTGGCCGAGTCCAATCTAATTCGAATCCCCACTTTTTAGAGTCTGCCACCTGATCGCCAGCACACAATATCAGATCCATCCCACTCAGCCACAATGGTGGCTTTGAGAATTATAAAGTTAAATTCATCAAGTTAATATAAAATCACCTCTTAAATGTCGATCCTCAATAAAATGATGTACAGTATCATTTGTGTTGCTTTTTGTACATGGGCCGATGACCTACAAACGGAAAATAAAACTTTGACTTTTAACATGTGGCTTTGAGAGTTTGGGTTTGAATCTTGGATATGACTCAACCTAATAAAACTACTAAAATCTATACTTTACTGAGATTTCAAGTGTAATCCCAAAAGTAACATATTTTATAATTCATGGTGTATTCCTAAAAATGTGATGTTTATGTGTACAGACGCTGGGGTTATAACGTGGGTTTATGTGTACGCATGCTGGGGTTACAGTACAACCAGAAATTATTGAGAATTTAAGATTGTAATTTAAAAAAAAAAAATTCACTCATTACTCACGTATTAAATGTGAATATTAGCAGAACATAACTCCAGATTCACAAGACAGGTGAACAGTTAGTATTTTGTCAAGTCACCATGGGCAGCAATGCAGGCTTCAATGCGGTGGGGCACACTACTGATCAAAGAAGTTAGAAAGTCATGGTCCATGCTGTCCCAATATCGGACCACCTCTTCTTTCATTTCAGCAATATTTGTCAGATTTTTCTAATTGACACTTTCCTTCATAAGTCCCCAAACATTTTCTATTGGATTTAGGTCAGGGCTATAGCTTGGCCAATCTAATAATGTCATATTTTGGGTCCGAAACCAGGCCTGTGAATGCTTTGAACAATGTTTTGGGTCGTTGTCCTGCTGGAAAATAAAAAATTTCCATAGAACACGTGAGCAGATGGAAGTAAATGGCCCTCGAGAATATCTGTGTACCGCTCACTGTTCATATTCCCTTCAAATACACAGAGGGGCGTTGCCCCTAACACAGATATGCCACCCCACACGTTAAATTTCGGACTGTACTTTGGGCACTGTTACAAAGGTTTTTCAGTTTGTTTGGTGCAGAATTTACATTGTCCCAGTTAAAATTTCTGTGCTGTGAGCACCAGTTCAACCTTCGCTCCTTTTGTTCAGGTTTCATGATCGGTGATGGAATTCCTCAACATTTCTGCCAACCCATTGCATGCAGTTCAGTTCTAATTGTCTCTTTACAGACATCCACAGTTCCTCTATCAATCATATCCAGCCTTAAGTTTTCTAAACTCCTTCGTTAGTTTTTAGAAACAAGAATACCAAGCCGCCTCCT